CTTTTCCAAAGCATTCATTACCAGCAGACATGCCATATAATGTACTTGTTTATTATGTTACTATATTACTAGAGGCCCTGTGCAAAAAAATTCGTGCATAGAGGATGGGGCAGGGTGTCCTTTCCAATCTGGGACCCTTGTGGGGTTGGACATCCCTCTCACAATCCAGGACTGCTGGCTCCAACCACTCACCTGCCTGCCTGATTGCTGCCTAACCACTCCCCTGCTAGCCTGATCGATACCTAACTGCTCCCCTGCTGGCCCAATTACCCCTAACTGCCCTTCCCGGCTATCCTGGTCGCCCCTAACTGCCCTCCCCTGCTGGCCTGGTCTCCCCCAACTGCCCACCCCTGCTGGCCATCCTCTGTGTTGGAGTGATGGTCAATTTGCACATTACCTTTTTATTATATAGCCTGACATCTTTCATAAGAATATGATTGCTTAAATCAAGGATCTTTGTTTTGCTTACTGCTCTGCCTTCAGCCCTAAGAACATTGTCTGGTAGTAAGTAAACACTCTGTTAATATTTGTTGAATAAATTATCCTTTTACCTAGCAGGCAGAGTAATCTCCTGAATACTGAATGACTAATCCTGACCAAGTTACTCCTGCTTAAAAGACTTCAATAGCTCCCATTATTTACAAGGTACAGTTCTCCTTAGTGTGGCCTGCAAAACCTTCCCTAACCTGGCCCCTCTTCCCTGAGCCACAAAAAAATGTATGCACTTTCCATGGAACTCACAGGTGCTTTGAGGATTGTAATCTCTCATGTCTGATCTCATCTTATTTTTTTCCTAATCTTATTTTCTCTCTATTTCAGTTCCTTCAGGTACTTAAAAATAGTATTGCATCCCTAGTCAGTTTACTCAGTGGATAGAGCCTTGGGGTGCAGATCAAAGGGTCCCAGGTTTGATTTCTGTCAAGGGAACATGCCCGTGTTGCAGGCTTCTCCCAAGCCTGGGCCTTGGTTGAGGCATGAGCAGGAGGCAACCAATCAATGTGTTTCCCTCACATCGTATTTCTCTCTGTCTTTTCCTTTTTCTAAAAATCAATGGAAAAATATCCTCGGGTGAGGATTTAAAAAGAAAAAATAGTATTGAATCTTAAGTGTCTCCTTAAATAGCCTTACATTCTTATGCATTTAACACAGTATATAAGCCTCTCTTAAATGTCTTAAGCTGTTCCTTTTGCCTCAATTGTATCTGCTACTTACCTCTAGTGTTAACATTATTGTAAGTCATTCCAAGTATGTTAAGTGGGTGAATTTCTGTTTCCCTGCTAGAATAAGAACTCTTTGTACTTTATTAGGTCCTTAGAATTATTTGCTAAACCTCTAATAATTTTGGTGCTTTGTTACTGGTAACACAAAACAATATAGAGATTTCTATAAAAATTGTTGCCTAAATTCTGGCAGATCCAGTGGCCAGAAATGTCTGTCAGCTGCATTCTCATCTAGGGAGGAGCCACCTAAAGAAGAACATTGATAAGACAATTGTCAGGACTACTGACAGGACAATTGATAAGTGATCAGCCACACAGGAAAGAAAGAGAAGGAAAAATTTGACTATAGTTTTGAGGCCAAACTATCAAAACAATATTGATATCATTGGTATCGGTTGTATCAGAAAAAAAAAAAAAGGAGGTATAAGATCAAGAAAGAGGGATTCTGCCCTGCCAGTGTGGCTCAAAGTTGAGCATTGACCTATGAACCAGAAGGTCACAGTTTCATTCCCGGTCAGGGCACATGCTCCAGTTGTGGGCTCAATCCTCAGTTTGGGATGTGCAGGAAGCAGCCTATCAATGATTCTCTCTCATCGTTGATGTTTCTGTTTCTCTCTCCATCTCTGAAATCAATAAAAATATACATCTTACCTAATAAAAGAGAAACATGCAAATCAACCATCACTATGCTACACCCACGAGCCAATCAGGAGTAATATGCAAATTAACCCACCAAAGATGGTGGTTGATTTGCATATACAGGCACCCCAAGTGACCAGGGGCAGGTGGAATACTTGTGTCATCACCATGGCAACGTGGGAAGGCAGGGCTGGGCTAGAGTGGAAAGTGGTGCCAGCAGCCAGGGAAAGGAAGACCCATTCTAGCACAAATCTTTGTGCATTGGGCTTCTAGTGTGTGTGTGTGTGTGTGTGTGTGTGTATGTGTGATATATATACATACATATATATATATATATATATATATATATATATATATATATATATATATATATTTTTTTTTTTTTTTTTTTTTTTAAGAGAAAGAACCCTAGCCAATTTGGCTCCATGGATAGAATGTTGGCCTATGGACTGAAAGGTGCCAGGTTCAATTCCAGTCAAGGACACCTGCCCAGGCTATGGGCTCAATCCCAGTAAGGAGCATGCAAGAAGCAGCCAATCAATGATTTTCATCATTGATGTTTCTATCTCTCCCTCCCCCCTTCCTCTCTGAAATCAATAAAAATATACTTTAAAAATGAAATTAAAATAAAAAAGGAAAGCTAATTTTTAGAGGAATGCTGATAAGTTGAGTTTGAGTCATGAAGTAATACAAGGCATTCAAGAAAAATGTAAGTGTAGAGCTTTTGACATAATTGAGGGCTAGAGATAAACATAAAGAAGTTATCTCAAATATGTTGATGTTAGTTGATATTAGGGAATAAACTAACTCTCTGTGAGGGAGAATATAGAAGGTGAGACTAGAAAAAAGTGGTTTGAACTAGGAATGCTTCCAAGTTTGGAGAGCAGGAGTAGGAATGCTCCCAAACTTGGGAGAGAAGAAATAGTTCTAAGAGTAAGAGAAGCTTCTCCCATTCCAGTGTTTCAAGCCCAAGGGAGGAAAATTCCAAGAAGATAATCGAGAAATCTAAAGAATAAGAACTGGAATAAACCCTTAGGTGTGGTAGAGACAGCGGGAAAGCATTGAGGTGGTTGGGGCTGGATAATCTTTCAGAGTTATTTATTTATCCTGCAATATAGTGAGTTTTTTAAGATCAGGGGAACATATAGTATAATCTAAATGAATCCTGCTGCCCATGTGGCTCATTTGGTTGAGTGGCATCCTAAACACCAAAAGGTCGCAGGTTTGATTCCCAATTAGGGCACATACCCAGGTTGGGGTTCCATCCTTGGTCAGGAAGCAACTGATTAATGTTTCTCTCTCTCTCTTCCTTCCTTTCTTTCTAAAATAGATAAATAAATAAACCCTGCTACAGTGGGGTGTAACAATAGGAGGCCAGGCTGAAGTTGCCTCATTACATGGTAACCCAGGTATTAAACAATTAAGGCATTCAGTGTATTTGGACATTGCCACGTGGAATAAAAAAGATACACAATAGCTATAACTGGTTTGGCTCAGTGGATAGAGCTTCAGCCTGCAGACTGAAAGGTCCCAGGTTCGATTCCAGTCAATAGCATGTACTGAAAGGGCAGGGCGGGGCTAACTCCTCGGAATGAGTGGGCAGGGCGGAACTCCTGATCCTCCATTTTGTAACTGGACCCTAGCCCTCACCCAACCAATCAGGGTCAGCCAAAGCAGTGACATCACCACCCCTATAAAACCACTTAATCTATTGAAGCTCTTCCTCTTCCACCGCTGTTGGTGTAAGTGGGACAGAGCCCATGCTGGTATGGAATACAGGCTTTCTGCTATTGCATTGGACTCGGCTCCCTCGTGGTCCTTGAGGATCACAAAATCTGGGCATAACAGTAACTTGGTTGCAGGCACATGCCTGGTGGGAGGTGTGCAGGAGGCAGCTGATCAATGTTTCTCTCTCATCAATGTTTCTAACTCTCTATCCCTCTCCCTTTCTCTCTGTAAAAAAAATTAATAAAATATATTATTTAAAAAAAAGACACACAACAATCTATGGTTCTCTTCCAATGCATTGTAAAACAAGTCAACTCTGAAACATGAATCATCTCCTCAAATCAACTTCAAACTGTCTCCAGTATATTACACAAATAACCTACATCTGGTGGCTCACCTGCCATTTCATCAAATCAGTGCATTAAACAATTCAACAAGCACCCCATGATCATATATTGTGCTAGGCACTTGGGATTCAGATAATCTAAAACTCTAATTTAATGGAAAGGCTCACAGACAGCAGGAAGAAGACACTTTGAAGCAGTAGGCAAGGACTGACAGTGAGAGGTTAGGTAATGAATGTGAATAAACCAGCTTTGAGTGGCAAAAATGAAATGGTTCATCCATTTATAGAATCTTAGGATCTTAGGATCTTGGGAGGGAGCATTTGACTTCTCATGCAACTGTGTGATTACTGCTCAGCCTTAATATTCTTACCGTGAAGTTTGTCAGATATATTGTCCATTATTCCCTCCCACCAGACCTGAGAATTTCAGGGTCAGAAGACCTTATTTATAGGCAATTTCACTGAAACTTGACCTCCTCACTTTAATGCTCTCTTTCATGAATCCGCTGTCATTCAACTACTATGTGTACCAGGTGGAGAGCAATAAATATTTTCAGTTTTCTTCCATTTTACTAATCTTTCATCATTTCACATAGAAAAATAAGCCTTTTAGTAGATCCCAGATCACATTTTTGTTAAATAATGGTTGTCTGTAGTATAAATTAATGTAATTACTATTTTACTTTTGTTTTTAAACAGCTTTCTTTTAGAGCATAGCTTCTAAACACAGGCTAGCCAGGAATGTTCTCTCCCTGCCAAAGGGATAACTCAAAACATGTCAGACACAGGAAAACAAAATTTTAAGTTCTATTAACCCTTCAAAAATTCTAAGCTGAGATAATCTCAAGAATAGTTCAATATTTTTCAATGCACGTTTATTTTGTGCATAAAAATATCTCACCTCATAAAACTGCCCAACAACAATAATAAGTATAGGGAAAAGCAAGAGAAATCCCACTATTTGGGGAGCAGGCAGAAATTAGCTTGCTTGTGTCCCTGAGCACAATGTCTGAGGCAGAATTTCTCCTGCCTCCGATGCTGTGGAGGGAAAGGGTGCCCACGCTTACCCCACTGCGACAGCCTCATCATGTTCCACACCAACGCAAAGAGCCAGAAAAACCTCAACCCCCTGGATACTCACATCACCACTTGGCACTTGCTCCTCAGGCAAATAAACAAAACAAAACAAAACAAAACAATAAAAGTTGCTCTTTGCATCAGATTCCTTCATAGAAGCCACAGCTAAACAAACAGCCAAAAGAAAACAAAACAAAAACTCTAGGTTGCCGCCTAGACCACTGCAACAGCCAGTAGACTGAAGCCGGGACTCCTTCTAGCTGGCCCATGGGCATCAGGAAGATGGATAATGAAAAGCCATCAGATAATAATTCCACAGGAGAAAAGACGTCATTGCCATTCAGTTGTGATTCAAATCACAACTAATTCTTAGGAACCATTGAAGCCCAGCCTACTGAGTTTTGGTTTTGCTTTCAGGATCACTTCGTGTTAAGCAAATAACTGACTGGTATTTGGGAAAACTAGTTATAAAGTTACCAGAAAAGAAGGCCGAGGAAAGAATTGCTAGCATGTTCTATCTGTGTGTCAGAAATTTTACACAGGTATTTTTAATAGTTTTCTTGTGGCTGCATAACAAAAGACCATAAAGTGGGTGGCTTAAAACAACAGATACTGCTCTCACAACTCCCTCATTGTTCTCTCACAGGTCTGGAAGCTATAAATCTGCAACCAAAGTGTCACAGGGCCACTCCCTCTGAAGGCTACAGCAAGGAAAGACTCCTTGCCTTTTCCTTGCTCCCAACAGCTTTCTGTAAGGCTTGGCATTCCTTGGTTTGTGGCTGCTTCACTCCAATCTCTTCTCTCATCTTCACATGACCTTCTTCCCTGTGTGTGTCTCTGAGTGTCCTCTCCTCTTCTTATAGGAACACTAACCACTAGATGAGTGCCCACCCTAATCTGGTGTGACCTCATCTTCACTGATTACATCTGTAGATACCCTACTTCTAAATAAGGTTACATTTTGAGGCTCCAGGTGAACATGGATTTGGAGGGAACACTATTCAACCCACTACAGGACTTCATTTCATTCTTGGAGGAACTTGTGGCCTAGATATTGTTAGACCCATTTTATATATGCCTTTCCTCAATTGCACAGACAGTCCCAGTCTTGGTATTTAGGCAGCCACTCCCAACTGCAGCTACCACAATTGTTTCTTGTTTGAGGGATGGAGTCAAAAGAACAAGGAGGAAAGGAGAACACTGCCTTTTCAGAAGAAAAAACAATAGCCCTGCTAGTGTGGATCAGTGGTTGAGTGTCAACCTATGAACCAGAAGGTCACAATTCAGTTCCCTATCAGGGCACATGGCTGGGTTGCAGGCTTGATCCTCAGTAAGGGGCATGTAGGAGGCAGTTGATCAATGATTCTCTCTCATCATTGATGCTTCTATATCTCTCTTCCTCTCCCTTCCTCTCTGAACTCAGTAAATATATATATATTTAAATATGAAATCAATAAAAAACTTATTTTTTTAAAAATCTCTAAAAATATTCAATAGAAAGAAAAACAATTAGGCAGTGGAGACTTAAAGGCAAGGCTTGGAGAGAAGACAAGAACACATTAGAGAAATGTGGCTAAGAAAACACACCCTGTCTGAGCGTCAGAGTTTCATCTCTGCTGACCCCACTCCTATGAGCCCAAGGGAACCAGAGTGTTACTTGAGATGTTGCTGGCCAAATGGCACCAGTTATTGCCAGTGAAGTTACACCTTGGTTCTTGAGTTCAGGAAAAAAAAAAAAGAAAGAAAGAAAAAGAATTTTGAGCCAAAACTCAAATTACAAGAAAAAGTCACAGAGGTAGAAGAACTGAGCCAGCTGGACTGCAGAGGCACAGGAAACAAGTTAAAGAGGCAGAAGGGCCCTTGGAAAGGCAAAGACAATGTGCCCAGGGGAAATGGAAGGATAAGGAAAGATGCGGGCATGTTCTCAGAGGGAGTGCACACCCTGGGTCTTTCCTCTTGATGGTTTTAAAGGCTGAGAGTTTAGGGGAGGTCTGAGGGGAGTCACAAGAGAATATCCAGCAGTTTTATGCTGATGTGCCAAAATGAGATTTATTCCCCTGACTTCACACATCCTTGGGTGTGGTTGGCACAAATGGCACTAATTGAATTTTTGTTACCTATCTCACTGAATAGGATGATTTAAGCTATTTACCCTCTGGAAGTGTAAACTATTTACTTTTAAGTGTCCTTGGTTAGGGAAGATAGGGTGTTGCCATTTACTTGATGTCTGTAAACTGCTCGGGCATTTAACTATCTGCCTTAGTTTCCCTATTCCATTTGTTCTGGCTTACTACTAGCCTGTCTCAGTAGGAATGAGATTGGTCATCTAGTCTATATTCAAGTTGGCCTTTTCTTGCCAACTGGTTTTCAGTCTCACCACTGAAAAGCCCCATGGCGTAGTGGGACCACAGAGGTGCGTATGTCCTCTGCATGGCTCTGAGAGTTTAGTGTCTACATGAGATCCACATACCACCTGTCAGAGTGCCATCCCTCTTTAGGAGGGAGATATACTTGTCACTGTTTCTCTTTTCTGTCTTATCCGAGTTTCCTTCCACTCCACCCCACTCTATTTCCTCTTGCTGCAGGCAGTTTAGACAGACATGAGCAAAGCAAGAACAATGGGCCAGGTACAGAAGGTCACCAGGGTGAAAAGTCCCAGGTACCCAGCAATGAATAACCCTATATAAAAAAAGCTTAATATGCTAAGTGTCCAGTTGTCTGGTTGGCTGTCCAACCAATCAAAGCATAATATGCTAATGATATGCTAAGGCTGCTCAACTGCTTGCTATAAGTTAACCAGTCACTATGACATGCACTGACCACCAGGTGGCAGACACTCCAACTGGTAGCTTAGCTTGCTGCTGGGGTCCGGCTGATCAGGACTGAGCAAGACGGGCCAGACACATCCTGAAGCCCTCCTGCGGTCCCTCCTTGGCTGGCCAACCTCCTGTGTCCCTTCCTGGCCCCCATGGTGACTTTTCCTCCCCTAGCATATTGCTGGTTATGAGGTTTGGACCCCCTGATGTTCCCCTCCTAGAGATATCCATGCTTCCATTGTGTTTCAGCTCTAGGCCCAGAAAAAGCAACAATACCAGCCAAGGCTGACCTCAGGACCAGCAGCATTGAAAAATGACCCCCTGCCCTGGTGCTGGCCAATCAATTAGTGGAGACTACAACAATAAAAGGACACAGCTGGAAAACTGCTGGATTTTCTACTGAAATAATCCCCTGCGACCTGGGATCTCACAGTGAAGTCCCTTGGCCTGGCCTGCACCCTCTCGCAATCTGGGACCCCTTGGGGGATGTTGGAGAGCTGGTTTTGGTCTGATCCAGCAGGCCAGGCCAAGGGACCCCACTGGTGCATGAATTCGTGAACTGGGATTTTAGTCAATTATAGGGTGGGACATCGCCCCATGGTGACTTTTCCTCCTCTAGCATATTGCTGGTTATGAGATTTAGACCCCCTGATTTCCCCCCCCTAGACACATCCATGCTTCCATTGTGTTCCAGCTCTAGGACCAGAAAAAGCAACAATACCAGCCAAGGCTGACCTCAGGACCAGCAGCATTGAATAGTGACTCCCTTCCCTGGTGCTGGCCAATCAATTAGTGGAGACTACAACAATAAAGGGACACAGCTGGAAAACTGCTGGATTTTCTACTGAGATCATTCCCTGTGACCTCCCCTAAAATCTCCACCCTTAAAACCCTTAGGATGGAGGACCCTGGGAGCATGCCCAAGCCTTTCCCTCCCTTTCTCCTCCCTACCCTCACTCCCAAGCTCCAAGGGCCCTTCCTTTACCTCCATTACTTGTTTCCTAAGCCCATTTCTTCTAGGAATTACTTCTTCTACCTCTGTGATTTACCAAATAAATGTTCTCTTACAGTTTGAGACTGACTTTGAATTCTTTCCTAGCCACAACCCAGGTTGCTGAACCCAGGTTGGGTCTGACCCAACCGGTCAGACCCCTGGTGCTGTAGGTTCCCAGGCTCTTTCTTCATTCCGTAGGTTTTGGAAAACAGACTTACCTCAGAGCAAGGGTGTTTTCACAACAAGGCCCTCCGTGTTTTCACCACAGGGCCCACAGACAACTCAAACTAATATCTCAGCATGTTTTCCTGCCTTATAAATCTATATGCCTTGAAAAAGATACTGAAGGGGAGATGTCAACATTTTAACAGGGGCCTCTACGTAGAGAACTTATAGGTGATTTTTTAGTTTCTTCTTTTTGTTTATATTTCATTTTCTAAATAACTTGCCATGAACACAAACGCACTTTTGTAAAGACATGGAAATAATTTTTAAAAATTAGTCATAGAAAATTAAATTGCTAAACAGCAACAAGAAAACATTTCAAGAACTTTGCAAAGGCTGTGTTTTAGTTTCTAATTTATTTAATTTAGCTTTGTTCCCTTTATATTATTATTTTTTTTATAATGGGAGATCCCTGAGAGGCATAGCTAAATTGTGTTTGTGCTCCTCAAAACAACAGGCTCAAAATGGAGAGTTACACTATGACCTCAATCGCCAAACCAAGACTTAATTATGTTTGCCTCTTCCCACATGGAATCTTAAAACAGTCCATCAAGAATTGTACTGATGGTGTTTGCTGGAGTGTCTGGATGTTGGTTTTGCTGCTGCTCTTGTTCTGCCTTCTGAGCCTCACTGCCTCCCCAGCCCTGGACACCCCTGCTGGCGGGGTCAGCCTACCACCCTCTGTCCTTTCTGAGAAATGCCACTGATGGCTCCTTTCCTCCTGTACCTGGCACTACAATAGTTGCACAGATTGTGTCATTGAATCTCCCTGAAACCGAGACAGTGACAGAGAAGTTAAGGAACTTGCTTAAAGTCACAGATCCAAGATGCACTGCCGTGAAGTTGATTGCAGGTTGCATATTTGCCTTCCACCTTGCCCAACAACAAATTGAATGCCTAGCCAAGTGCCATATGCTTTACCAAAGTTTCCACTATTTCTTAAAACCTGGGAGGGCGGTATTATTTCCACAGCTGAGAATCCCAAGTGACTTGCACAAGAACATCAGCCTCGCCTTGCCTAATGACAAACCCTGGGAATTTACAGTATCACATGTGGCCTCTGTGTTTCTCCACACCCTCACCTTCCCCACGCCTTTAAGCAGTTTTATTGACATGAACCCTGAGAAGAAATATATTTGCCAAAGAGCGTGGTTAACTGGGCCCAAATTCATAATCAGGGTCTATGGCTATTGCTAACTGAGGCCTCTCATGTTCTCTGAATTTCGGGAAAAGTCACTGTCAGCCTGCCACCGGGCTGTTCCACCCAACTCAACCCTTACCAAGGAGTTCCTGGTTTCATCTTTCCATCAGTGGACTGAGACCTGCCCTATACTATCAAAACTGGACAAATATATCCTCATTTGCACCTATACCAACCAATCAGAACTGCTCCATTGATCAATTAGAACACACAATTTGGGCCAAACAGGACTGTGCAAATTTGAATTCCTTATTTGCATAAAAATTATTCAATTGCAGAAAAAAATACATGTCAATTGGGAACCAGGGTGGGACCCTTCTCCATAAAAGGTGACCCACCCCTTGTCTCACTGGAGCGAATTCTTTTTTTTTTTTTAAAGGTTAACCTTTATTTTCATATATTTTAATATATTTTTGTTAATCCTTGCCCAAGGATATTTTTCTATTGATTTTTAGGGAGCCTGGATGAGAGAGGGAAAGACAGAAATATTGATGTGAAAAAAAACACATCAATTGGTTGCCTCCTGCATGAGCCCCGACCTGGGAAGAGCCTGCAACCCAGGTATGTACCCTTGACAGGAATCAAATCTGGGTCTCTTTGGTCCAAAGGCCAAGTTCTATCCACTGAGCCAAACCAGCTAGGGCAGTGGAGAGCATTCTTGATGGATTGGCTTAAGATTCCATTTGGGGGGGGGGGGGGCAAAACTATAATTAAGTCTCAGTTTGGTGACAGGGGTCATAGTTTAACTCTCTCTGTTTTGAGCCTGAGGTCTTGTTTTTAGGAGTACACACACAGTTTAGCTATGCCTCTCAAGGAGGTTGCATTTCCCACTTTGCAAGCTGTTCACCTGAATAAAATTCTCCTTTCCACACACCTCAGATGGGAAATTTTTGTTGACATACATAAACATACACATATTTAAAGTTTGTTATTTGGTTTTCACATACATAAAATCAAATATGCCCCTGAAATCATCAGTACAATCCAGACAGTGAATATATCCGTCATCCCCAAAAGTTTCTTTCTGCCCATTTGTAATCCCTCCTCCTAGTCATAATCTTCCATAACTACTCCTCAAATAACCATAGATTTGCTTTTGGTTGCTATAGATTAGTTTGCATTTTGCATTTTAGAATTGCATATAAATGGAATAACATAATATGTGCTTTGGGAGGGGGTAATTGGGCTTAATTATTTCGATATTTATCCATATTACTGAGTAGTTAATTTCTTTTTTTTCTTTTTTCTTTTTTTGCTGAGTAATAGTCCATTATATGGATATAGTATAATTTATCTATTCACACACTGCTGGGCTTTTAGGTTGTTTTCAGTTTCTGGCTATTACAAACAAAGCTATGTTATTGTAAACAGTATTGTTTTAAGTTTTTTTTAAAATAGTTTATTGCTAATGTATAGAAATATAATTGATTTTTATATTGATCTTGTATCCTGTAAACTTGTTAAACTTATTAGTTTGAGTAGTTTTTATACATTTTATAGGATTTTCTAGTATACAGTTAATAATGTTATCAATGAATAAAGACCGTTTTCCTCTTCATTTCCAATAAAAAAAAAAAATAGAGAATTGCTTGATTAATCTGCCTGACAGACCTGCCATCCCCTAAAGGAAAGTGACTTTTCTATAACCAATTTGCTTTTCCATCTAGTATAACTTCTTTGTTCCTGCTCCCTCCTGCCTATGAAAATCTTTAGTTTCTTACAGCTACTTGGACCCTCTTTCTATTTGCTAAATTAGATACTTCCAGATTCATGAATAATTGAATAAATCCAGTAAGATTTTTTAAATTTACTCAGTTGAAGTTTTATTTCATTTTTTCAGAACTTATTTAAAATTTATTTTTAAAAATGCTATTGTCCTTATAATGATCTATCTCCAAAGTGAGATCTGTATTGTTTTTTCAACAGAAATTCAGGTTTGGGATAGGATTATGCTAGATATAAAATTTACTTTTAACAGTGTGTTAGATGATACTTGATCATGGAAAATTGGAATTTAGGTCAGAGATATTGCACTATAATAAGCATAATAATAATCTCACCCATGTAAACAACTAGTCTGCAAGGCCTCTTCCACTTTATAGAAAGAAAGGTCAAGGTGAAGAGAGGTTACACAGCTTAACCAGGATCACCTTGTGAAGATAAGGCAGAGCTTCTCAGAATATTTTCCTCCAAATGCTGTGCAATACAATGCAATGTGTGTAACACAATGCAATTCAATGTGATATAAATGTTCATATGAAATACTTAGAACAGCACTTGCCACATAATAGGTACTAAATCAGTATTAACTATTTCAGGTCCAAAAACATAAGTCCACTCTTTCTTCACTCTATTAGGCCTTATAGGGAAGTGGGGGGAAAGGGAAAGAACACAGTCTAAGAGTGAAACGAAATGCACACAGGGTTCTGAAACATGGGTAAGAAGGCACAGCTCAGGAAGGGGTGAGAATTACAAGGAGCCAGCAGCTTATTTAGAACCAGGCTTAGCAACCTTTCCAAAGTCAGGGACCAAGGTGATAGAGTTTATCTGGAATGTGATGGAAGGGAATGATGGCAGGCCCCTCTCTTGAAATGGGGATAGGGGGTTCAGAGGTGGGGGAAATAACAGGCAGCCAGAGGGAGGAGGGCAGGGAGGAGTCCACATGGGGGCCACCCTGCAAATTGGTCTTCCTTGACTCATGGTCAGCCCAGGGAATAGAGATCAGTTATTAATCACACCAAAAGTCAAACGCTTAGCTTGGAATTCCACCTGACCTTTGTCTATAAGGAAGGCCTGCTTCACAGTGAGGGAAGGAAGGTGTGGGCAGATATTCTTTTTTTTTTTAATATATTTTATTGATTTTTTTACAGAGAGGAAGGGGAAGGAAAGAGAGTTAGAAACATCAATGAGAGAGAATCATGGCTCAGCTGCCTCTTGCACACCCCCCACCAGGGATGTGCCTGCAACCAAGGTACATGCCCTTGACAGGAATCGAACCTGGGACCCCTCAGTCCTCAGGCCGATGCTCTATCCACTGAGCCAAACCAGTCTCGGCCTGTGGGAAGATATTCTGACCAGAGCAACTGAGATGGTTGCTTGTTTTTAGAAGAAAAAAGGTTCAGGTTTGGCTCATTTCTTGAAAGAAATTCAGATAAAAGGGAGGCTTACTTTCAGGTTAATGGGTTGATGTAAGCTACTGATTGGGTATTTTTCCTGCTTCAGCATTTCCTGAACAGGAAAACAATAACTGCAGAGAGAGCTCTGTGTTGAGAAAAAGGTTACTGAAATCACAAATTTCAGTAAGGCCTAATTCCTCAGGTGAGTCTCCCAGGTATAGAATTGGATCAGGAAATGAGAGTAGAGAAGAGGTGGGGATTAGAGGTTGAACTGGTTCACTGGCCTTTAACAATCTATACTAGTAATAGGGTGATACGCAAATTGGTTGGGACACCCTCACATAATGACTAATCAGCAGGCAAAGTGTGCAGCAGGTAGGTGGGTGGGGACTTGCAGCATTGGGAATGCGATGGCGGCTGCCACTTGCCCAGGGCCGGCCCGGGGTTTAGGCAAGCCACTGATGGCCGCTGCCATTGAAGGGCCCAAGGCTCAGGCAGTGAGGGCCAGGCGAGGCTCAGGCAAGCCACAGCGGCTGTGAAAGCTGAGGTTCAGGCAGTCTCACCACTGCCAGTGGCAGCAGCAGAGGCGTGATGGGAGTGTCGCCTTCCCCTGATCACCAGGATGCCTCCTGCAGAGGGAAGCCAGAGGCCCAGGGTGATGGGGGTGGTGCCTTTCCCTGATCAGCTGGTCACCTCAGGCAGAGGGAGGCTAGACTGTGGCTCCCCATGGGGAGCGGGCCTAAGCTGTCAGTAGGACATCCCCTGAGGGCTTCCGGACTGTGAGAAGGGGCAGGCTGGGCTGAGGGACCACCCCTCCAGTGCATGAATTTCATGCACAGTGAAAAATAAAAGGGAGGGATTAGCAATTCTGGGGCCTAGACAGGAGGTATCCTGACCTCTTCCCCTCTCATTCTTGGGGAGAAGAGAACACTGGACACACATCCTTGAAGTTGTAGGGTGTTCCTACATAGAGATCAGCATCTGCTTCTTGCCTGAAGTTTCTGAATGGGAGGTTCACTGGAGTACCCCATACCTGGAGGGCATGAAGAGCTATAGAACTGTTTTCAAAGATGAAGAAAATGGAGGCAGTCTTCACTCCAGATCGCTGAGCTCTCAGTGACCACAGAAGACCCCAACAGTTTCTGTGACTTCAGATGAAGCAGAAGGAAGGTAATTCAGGGACACAGTCCTGGGACCTTAACAAGCCACTTGATTTCAGACTGAACCAGATGGAGCCTGGAAGCATGTCCCTCCCCACTCAAGGGCAGAGCCAGAAATTTAGCCTGTTCTGGGAAGAGAGCAGGGAATCTGAAAAGAATATATGATTGGAATTTCAAGTGGGATGGAACTTTGGCAGTTCTTCAAAACGTTAAACACAAAGTCACTGTATGACCCAGCATTATACTCTGAGGTATAGATCCAGGAGAGAGAGAAATATTTGTGCACACAAAGACCTGTACATGAATTGTTACAGCAGCATTATTCACAATAGCCAAAAAGCAGAGAGTTCAACTGTCCATCAAGTGATGAATGGACTAATAAATGTGGGTACATCCATAGAGTAGAATATAATAATTCAGCCTTAAAAAGGAATGACCTACTAATGCATGCTATTGTACAATGTGGGCGAACCTTGAAAACATCATGTTCAGTGAAAGAAGCCAGTCACAAAGACCACATATTATATAATTCCATTTATATGACATGTTCATATCAGACAAATCCACAGAGACAGAAAATAATTAGTGGCTGCCTGGGAATGGAAGAAGGGGGCAATGGGGTAGAGGGGTGACTGACAAAGTGAATGAGGTTTCATTTCGGTATGATGAAAATGTTTTTAAAGTGATTGTTGCACCATTCCATGCATTTACTGAAAACCACTGAAGGGTACACTTTAAATGGGTGGATTGTATAGTATGTGAATTATGTCTCATAAAGCTATTAGGAAACTTGGGGCGGGACTGCCATAACATGTGACCTGCACATTATGAAGCTGAACTGAGATAATGATGAAGGTCGTTCTCTACCTGGCAGGCTGGGAGTGTTAACAGAATATTCTTGAAAACAGTTATTGTAAAAGTAAAACATTTTAATGAACTCAGTTTGCTCAATCAAATCTGTGACGTAAGGATGGGTGGGGACCCCGACGGTCAGAAGCAAGACCACACCAGCAGCTGCTCATGGCGTTGTCTCCCCTTCTGTTTGTCTCTACTTCTCTCTGCGCATCTCGTCTGTCCTCCCTGCACTGCTGACTTCCTCATCCTTTCTCTTTAGTCGGAACCTCTTTTCTCTTCCTTGTTGATTTTGCTTTCTCAGAGTTTCTGCTGCCTCAACATCATATTTCCTATCACGAGTCCAGGAACTCCATAACCCTTCAGGGCTGGCCTAACTGCTTCTGTTTTGAGCATCTGATTGGCTGACAGTCTCCCGAAGCCAGCCATACCCTGTGTCATGAGCCCACATCTAAATCCACCATTCTTTAGCCCACTGAGCAGTTATGGGAAGTGGGTCACACAGAACAACTACAACAACAACAACAACAACAACAACAAAATCTGGCTCCCCTGGGTGCCCTTTTGGACAAAAGGAGAAGGCAGGAAAACTTCTCTCAGAAAGGGGACAGGTGCTCTGATTAAAAGAGGTCATGGGGAGAAGGCAGATGCCTCTGCTGAGGGCTGAGGCCTTGGCTAACAGCCCTGGGCTGGTATTACAGTTAAGATTCTCAGGAGGGTTTCTGCCATTGCATCAGGTCTTCTGGTTTAGAGCAGAAGCTCAGGCACCTGTCCCTGCATCCCATCCAAGGTAAACAATACCTTTGTGTCTTGTTAGGGCATAGGGATGTGCTCATGATCTACTCTTCTCTAGAAACTTATCTAGAACATAAAATTGGTTTCTAGTGGCCATATCTGTGCTTCCTATGCCCATGCTTATCAGATTCTTTTCCCTGGGCATTTGAAGTGGGCCTAAGAGATAGTGAGTCAGTTACCTCATGTGGAAGAAAGTGCGGAATGTAACAGAGGGAGCTGATGTGCATGTGAGAAGGCGGAGAGCATGTTCAGCCATGTAACCAAGCAGTTCTTAAGAGAATAACTGAAGAAAGAAGCAGACAAGAAAGAGAGGCAGCACTGACTAGCGTCCTGTTCTTTGTTCCAGTCCGTTCTGCAGTCTGGGCTGTGGTCCCTGCCTCAGATTTGGCACCTGCAATTATGCTTTTTACTCAAGTGGGTCTCTGATCTTTCAGCCAATTCTAAAACACACAAAAGCTTAAGTGCCCGAGATTCACCTCCTGCTGCATGCCAAGCCAAGTCTGACCTCACTTTGCAGGTGGTTGAGGGGAGAAGAAGAAGGCAGACCTAAGGCACTAAATAATCTACATGCTTCCCAAAGTCTCTTCTTTTCCTGATCTTGGTTCATCTCTGCTGGACCCAGAAGTCTGGGCTGGCTATAAGACGAACCTGGTGTGGTCCCAGCAACCTGGGATCAAAGGATCCCCAGAGTGTGTCTAAAATTCTGAACCCAGTTCCAGTGTCTGGGTTTTTCCTATACTATCGATGAAACAATTTTTGGACACCAGCTGTGTGTCTCACAATTCAACTCAATTCTGACACAATCTTTCTAGAAACAGAATCAGATTTCATAAGATGCTCTCCACTTTAGATACCAATCAGAAGTCTAGATATGATCTGTACTTCTGGCTAGTCAGCTACAGAACGAAGGTTCCCATGACCTTGATCTTGGGTTTGATTAACTTACTAGAGCATTTCACAAAACTTAAAAAAAAACCACACACACACACACACACACACACACACAAAAAAAAACACAACCACACAACAACAATAA